TTTTTTTTTTTTTTTTTTTTTTTTTTTTTTTTTTTTTTTTTTTTTTTTGTTAGACAAACGGGATTGGGGACAAGATAATACTCCTTGTTCTTGTCCTTGCTAAAGGTCCGACAAAGCCACAAAGCTGGGGCGAAATAACGAGGCTAAATTTTCTTTAAACTTAGTTGTGAGCATGTCAAGATCACGACGCCGCACGGTAAAAAGATATAGGATTATAACAGTTGGTATCAGAACCACACTTTCTGCGTCTAGTCACGCAAGACAGTCAAGAGAAATGAACCCTCAAGAGTGCGGACAGAATAATTGTCGGTCATAATTAGAATAAGTTGGGGGTTGAAACCAAGACTACCCGAAGTTCATTAGTGTCGTATGTCGACACGGGGAGATCTACCCTTGAAGTATATATATATAATTTTTATTTTTGGAAGTGAAACAGTTTTTAAAAAGATTAGTATTTATATTTATAAATAATTTATTAGAAATTAAAATTTAGCCAACCAGCCATGACTTTTCTCAATATTCAAAGAAAGAGAACGTTTCAAAAAAAAAAAAAAAAAAAAATAAATAAATAAATAAATAAAAGTATTCAATATACAACCAAGCAGCACTCCAGTACAGCGGATTTAAAAGGCACTCCAAAAAGCTGATTAATAAATAAATTCAAAATATTGTAATTTTAAATTACATAAATACCCTCGTCAGCTCCTATAAATTAGATCTTCTTCATCAATTTCCTCATCATCCAGTTTTCTTCAAATTACAGAAAAACAGAGTTTCTGAAAATGAGATCGCCATTGTTGACGCCTTTTCTGATCTCTTTCTTTTTCCTGTTCTTTTCTTTCTCTCTTGCTCTCGTGCCTGCTAACGAGACCTTCAAGTTCGTCAATGAAGGCGAGTTTGGTGAATTCATCATCGAGTACGACGGCACCTACAGACCTCTCAGCATCTTCAGATTTCCATTTCAGTTATCATTCTACAACACGACGCCGAACGCTTACACGCTCGCTCTTCGAATTTCGATTCGTCGCTCCGAATCGGCGATACGGTGGGTTTGGGAGGCCAATCGCGGCCGTCCGGTGCGCGAAAATGCTACATTCTCTCTCTCCACCAACGGAAACCTAGTTCTCGCTGAAGCCGACGGCACTGTTGTATGGCAATCGAACACAGCCAACAAGGGCGTTGTTGGATTCGAATTGCTTCCGAGTGGCAACATGGTGTTGTTCGACTCCAATGGCAAATTCCTCTGGCAGAGCTTCGATTCGCCGACGGACACACTCCTTGTCGGCCAATCGCTCCGTCTCGGCGGGCCAACGAAGCTAGTAAGCCGCGCATCGGAGGTAATGAACGTCAATGGACCTTACAGCCTTGTAATGGAACGAAAAGCCCTATCTCTTTACTACAAAAGCCCTAACTCTCCAAAACCGATGCGGTACTACTCATCCACAGACATGCTCTCAGTCCGGAAAGGCGTTCTCGCAAATATCACACTAAACGCCGCCGTAGATCCAGATCAAGGATTCGCCACCGAATTAACACTGAACTACGAGACCGGCTCGACTGAGAGCGGCGGTCCAATTCTAACCCGGCCGAAGTACAACAGCACACTAACATTCCTCCGATTAGGAATCGACGGCAACCTCCGCCTGATCACATACAACGACAAAGTCGATTGGGGCCCGTCGGAGATTTCGTTCACACTCTTCGATAGGGATTCGACTTGGGAGAACGAATGCCAATGGCCAGAGCGGTGCGGACAGTTCGGGTTGTGCGAGGACAACCAGTGCGTAGCCTGTCCAACAGAGAACGGACTGGCAGGATGGAGCAAGACCTGCGCGCCGAAGAAGGTAAGTTCCTGCGATCCCAAAAGCTTCCATTACTATAAACTAGTCGGTGTGGATCATTTCTTGACAAAGTA